TCAGTTTTTTAAATTTTGAACAGTTTCGGAAAATTAATTATGCAGATGACATTATTTGAAGAAAGATAAAAGGAATCGCTTTCCATGCACAGCTTCGTGTGCTTTATCCCAAATTATCTAGATTCAATTTGTACTTTATCTATTTTGAAGTTTATATCTTTTTTTGAAAATTAATATTATTTTATGTTGTGTTTTCTTCAAAATAATTTAAAAAAATACCCTCCAGTCTTAATACATGATCTAATTGTTAAATTAATTTTAGTTTTAAATATAAAACCTATTTCTCAAATTTATCAATTTTTTCTAAATTATCTGTATAGATGCTTCCTTAACCATAATCAATTCAATGAAGGAGGAAGAATATTAAGAAAGATGATTATGGTATTTTACGAAAAAACATGTTATATTTTTTATGATTAACTAATTTACAAAACTTTTTTAGTCTAACCATATCTAAATATGTCTTATATTAAGAACCGGAAGAGTATTAAAGATTAACAAAAACAACGAGATCTAAATTTTCTCAACTAGACTCAACAAACTCAACAACTCATCAAATTAGATCACATCGTGACACATATCTTGAGATGGGACGAAAATATATTGTTTGTAAATGGTTTAACCCCATGGAACTTATTTTTTTTCAAATGAAAATCCATTTATAGATAATTAATTGGTTGACATTTCTCTTTTCAAATTGGAAGCATGCTTAATTAATGCATGCATGGTATAAAATAATTCAAACTCACCAATTGTTTCATTTTTGATGTTTTAAAATGAATTTGAATAAGATAGTTTTTTTAAAAAAAACTAAAATTAAAAGGATGGATGGGATATGTTTTGGGATGGGCATGGGTGGAAGGTAGTGAAAAGGGAATCAGAATCATGTGTTGTTGAACTACGGATCGTCTATTAAGTTCACTGGTTTTCTTTTTTTAATTTAATTGTTTCTGTTATTATTGGGCTGACCTTTTCTTTTAGTTTTTTTTTTTTGTGTTTTGCTCAAATTGATCACATGTAATTGGCTGGTCTTTTTTTTTTTAAATTATTATAATCGTTTTACTTTGTTTAAATAAAATTGCTTTTTACTATAAAAAATTCTCCTCTTTTTATTATTCTTTTTTTTCACCAGACTCTTTTATATTCTCTCCTTTCCCTTTCTTCCTTTTTTATAACAAATTAATTATTTTAGTATTTTCTTCAAAGAAGCTTATCGCAATATATTAACAACATGAAATTATATCACTGAGCTTGAACAATGAGTCATATTATTAGGGCTTCCGAACAATATGATTTTTGTTTTGAATTAATTAATGTAATTCGATTTCCGTAGTCAAATTAATTTTTGATGATATGACCAAACACATTATAAAGGAAAAATCAGTTTGAGGTTATAAGGAAGGAATGTAATGTCATGCAGTAACAAGTTTCACAGTATAAAATAACTATAAGTTCATATAGCTCATTTGCAGTGAGATTTTATTGATGATTGTATTGATTAATTGAGACTTTGAGTGATTTTTCTTTAGGCTAGAGTATACATTTGATTTTTTAATTTTATGTAAAGTTTCAATTTGGTCTCTTAACTTTAAAAAATATAGGTTTAGTTTTTTAATCTCAAAATTGTAACTTTTAAATAATGATATTTTGTAATAATCATAGTTGTTTTGAATATTAAATTTAATATATTAGCATTACGTAATATTTTATCAGCATTTAAAACTCAATATCATTATTTTTTGTTAACAGTTTTAGGATTAGATAACTAAAAATTTACTTTTTAGAGTTAAAAGACCAAAAGAAAACCTTATGTAAAGTTAAAGGACTAAAAGTATATTTTAGCCTTTTTTCTTATGATGAATTCAGTTTATATATTTGGGCAAATTTATCTGAGATGATTCAGCATAAGTATAAACAAAATATTTGAGGGAAAGAAAAGTGAAAATAATATAACTTCGGCCCCCTTTTTTTTTTTAAGTGTCATGAAGCATGGGGCAAGAACGTAACGCCTGTTATTCAATGAAGTGTAAATAAAGATTATAACACCAAATCATCAATTAATACAAACAATCCATAGATTAATTAATTAATTAATTAATGAGGAAAACTGCAAATTTTGGTGCATTGACTTGGAGGCAGGCACGTGACTTTTTTTTTAAAATTTTGTTGGGCCAACAGGACCACACTATTTTTAAATGGGCAAATCAAAGATAATTTCTTGTAAGATTGTGAAAAATTAAATAGGCATTTATATTGTTTGGAAATATCATTCAATTGGCTTGCGTGAGTTGGAAGAAGAGTCATAAAATTTTGGATTGTGTTGGATAACTCATTTAACTCTCTCCTCCACCTCATGATTTGCTCGCTTCAAAGTTTATTTTTTGCCCATAATAATTCGGAATAATTCCTATGCCTCTAATAAAAACTATTTAATTAATTCTGATAAATTAAGAAAATTAAATAAATTACTTAATTTTAATAAACGTGACGTGATTTTCGAAAAATGCACATATTATATATACGTAACATAAAATTATATATCAATTTATAAGTTATATAAATTAATTGAGGATAAAATGATATTATGATATCATATTTAGGACAAAACTGATACCTAATAAAGAGTATAAAAAAGGTTTTTATATTGGGAAAAAAGTCATTGATGGTTTAATAAGTCAAATTCACTTGCATAATATTAACATGCATTCAAAATGAAATTAATTTTATCAAGACATATGATTTAACAGAGCTTGATTTTAATTACTGAGAGCTCAATGTAACTTTTTGACAAAAAAATTAATGGATATATTTAAAAAATAATTTTGATTGACGGACAACTATTATTGTTATTATTGCTTTATGCTTAGTATTAATGGTAACTACTAGTATTATTTTTTATTCTATTCCAAATATTGGCATTGGATTCAGTTGTTTTTGCTGACAGAATATTAAGGTTAAGCCATTACCCATGTCTCTCTTGAGAATATTAAATAAATATAATTTATAATAATTGAGGGGAAAACGAGATGAAGTGACATGTGCATATAAAGGATCCTATGTACGCCACCAATGTAAGGAAAAATTACATTAAAAAAACCCAATGTTTTGTGAAATTTAAAAAGTAAACTTTTTCTTTTTAATTATTAATGCCATTGGATTTGTGCAGGTAGGTAAATTGAACTTACATCTTTGATAGCAATTTGATTTACCCAATGTCGTTAAGTTTTTTTAAAAAAGTTAATATCATCTTTAAAGTTGTAGCGTTGGATATAGTATTATAACTTCTATTTTTACAAATTTGATAAATTGATTTTCATTTAACTCTTTTCTTAGTCTGCCTGCATGTAGATATGAATTTATTTAATTTATATTATTTTTATTGAATAAAATATGAATGACATCATGCAATAATTTGGCAGAAATGATTTAGGGGTAGGGGGTTGAATGGCCATAAATGCAGAAATGCAGATCTGCAAAATAAATTCATGTGAAGGGATTGGCCAATTTGGGGATAACAGATACCCAATACTTATTATAGGCCAATCTCCTAAGGGGAATCTCCTGATTTTGAATTTAAATTTTACTCCCTCCGTTTCTTATTATAAGAGACAAATAACCGAAATATGTTGATAAAAAAAACAGTTAAAATTAGTTAAGAACAATTAATGTGTACAGAGTATAATTTTTTCCAAAAATACCCTCATTAATAAGGAGAGAGAACATGAGAGAGAACAATTAAATTATTAAAAGAAAGAGAAGTGTGAGGGAGAGAGAGTGTGAGTTAGAGATAATAAATATAGGTAAAATAAAAAATCAACACAAAAAAATAGAGACAACTTTTAAGTGTCTCTTATATATAGAAACATGCCATAAATATCAAATGTCTCTTATAATAAAAAACGGAGGGAGTATAATTCATGCCGAGGTTTTGAATTTGATAGCCATAGCCAGCTCTTTGAAATTTCAAGTAGTAAATGATTATGATAGACTTAGCTAAAAGCATTGACTCTATCAGATAATGACAAAATGACATATTAGCTTAGTAACAACAACTTATAGCCCTTCATGATCACGTTTGGAGACTTCGTTACTTCCAGATTTTGTTTTCTTCAAATTTTATTCATTCATTCTTACTTGTCTTCTTATTTTATGGTGAGTTTTCTTATAGATTTCTTTTTGTCAATTTTTTATGCAAAATAAGAGTTCAAAGCTGAAAAAATTATTGAGAGGTCTTAAACAACAAATAGAATTATCAAAAAATTTCATAACAAATAAACAATATGAACGTGTTGTTATTTTCTGTTTTAAAACTTATTATTATATCCCATTTATTTGTTATTTTAAAACAAGTTTTGATTTTTACCTTGACCCTACTTCATCTTTCTACTTTAACTACTTTCAGGTGGCTTTTTTAAATAAATTTTTTAAAAAGTTGTTAACCACATTTTTTAGCAACTTGTACGAAAAATTCAATTTTTAATATTTAGAGCATTATAATATAATATTCAAATTTAAATTGGTCAATAATATCCATTTCGATGGGATATGTTTGTTAATTGAAAAGATATGTTTCATGTTTTGGCGACCTAATTTTGTAAGGAACCCTATTTGGTTTTCAATTCGAAAGACATTCATTAAATATAAGCAAATCCCTCATGAAGTCCAACGGGGAAAATTAAAAAGTCTCCTCCCACAAGAAGCATAAAGAAAAATTGTCCCAACCTTTAACAAGCACGAACCTGTAAATTTCAACGGAAACGTACCATCGGTCAATTTCCAATTCAAATTATCAAAAAATTCAAACTTTTCCTCAGCCCACAGTAAAAAAAATAAAATTCGATTTTTTTTTTAAGAAAAGGATATAAAACGCTATTATTATTATTATAAATTATTTGCATGCTCGAGCAAACGGACACACCGCTTTCTTGGCTGTGTGTGTAGTGTCCTGTGTTCCCAGAATCGTGTCTGGGTCTGTCTACAACGGATCTTACCACCCATACCATACCACTCACCCCCACTTCTCTCTCTTTCTTACACACTCTTTGCTCTCTGCTCTGCTAGTGCTGCCTTTTTGTTGCTAAGCCAAGTTCCATTTTTTCTCTCTCTTCGAGCTATGGGGTGGACTATCGTTTTCTTTCGAAAGAAACCCTCGTGAAGTGCATGTGAAGCTTGCTGAGAGATCTGGAATTTAATGATCGAAACGGCTCGCTTCGCTTCCTTTTTTTCCCTGATTCAGGTGATTCTGGTGTTAAACTTCTACTTTTTCCTCTTCCTTCTCTCTCTTCTTGCTCTTTTCCAGATGTTACATCATGCTCTTTCTGCCTCTGCTTCATTGATTCCCTCCCATTTACTTAACCATGTGATTCTTTTGATAGAGCTTTTAAGGTAGTGGCTTCTTTGCTTCTGTTCTGCTCTGCTTGCATGATTAATCTCACGAGCTCATGTTGGCTTCTCTGCTTATGTGTTTTCGTGCAGTTGAGCTCAAATGTTGCTTCTTTAATTCGATGGGGTCTTTGAAATACTGGGATTCTACAATCTTATGTGGAGTAGCTGGAGGGAAAGTTTGGGAGATTGGTAGTTCCTTTTGAAATGTATTTTGTGATTTGCGAAACTGGCTACAATTGAGTATGAGGGTCGCTATTTTCCATTTTTGTGGAGGCCCATCATATGCGTTGGATTTTTGGCATTATTATAGCGCTTCCGATTTATTAATGGGATTAGCTTTTGTACTGCCATAATTGCGAAAGTTCAGTACAAATTAAAGGCAAAAAAATGCGATATTTTCTGATTTGCTTACTTGATTTAGAAAAGATTCTGGCGTCAGACTTGTTAGGGTGCTGATCATGACAAGGGCTGTGCGCAGTAGGATACTCAAAGATGCGAATGGTGATATTAGCGATCATCTACGCAACCATATCCATTTAACAAATTGCATTCACTTGAAGAACCATATGCACAAAAACAGCCCCATTCTTGCTGATAGGTCGCTTATGAGGGAACTAGTTGTGTTGCAGAGATCGCGCTCTCTGAGAGACCCTTCAGCAAGTCCTTCTTCATGGCATTCTCCTTCTATAATTGAGGTGCTTTCCAAGAGGGTTGACAATGACGTGGTGCTTCAGGAGGGAAGAAGGTCTGTAGGAATTGAACGCCGGAAAGAAGGAAGGAGATTGTCTGGAACCTCACCACCTGTTGTTAATTTAGGTCCATCAAAAGTTGCTCCGGGTGAGGAGAGCCGGGGTAATGATGGAGTGTCAGCAAGTAGAGACCGCAGCAGCAGGAGTGGAATTGGGGACGGGCGGAAAGTTGGAAGAGAAGAGTCTGGTCGGAAGAGCGACAGGCCTGATTATATGGGTCCCAGCAAAGAGCAACTTCACAGTCAGCTTGGCAAAGATTTGACTGAAGATGTTGTTTCAAGGCATTCTGAATCTAAAGAGAGAAAGAGCAAACAAAGGGGGAAGCATGTTCAAGATGTTCAGTTCAAGACCCTTTCTGAGCAGCTGAACGATGTTCCACTGGACAGTGATGATTTGGCATCTTCAAACAATAATGTCCAAAGACGGTTTCCTAGGCAGCAGAAAATTATTGAGGCGCCCGAAGCCAGCACACGTGGTCATGGAAATGGAGTGAACAGAGGAAAAAGGCGTAAATTTCGGAGTGCAAGAAGAGCTCGGGCTTCTGCGGCATCTAAAGATGTCGGTGCTGAGAATGAACTGTCTGTTGCTTCGAACTCATTTGCTTATGGTTCAGCCCACCATAGATATCACATGGAAGAGCCAGATGAATATGGAGAGGAAAATGTCACCAGGGCACCCAAAAATGGGTGTGGCATTCCTTGGAATTGGTCTAGAATTCATCACAGAGGCAAAACATTCCTTGACAGGGCTGGACGAAGTTTCTCTTGTGGCTTATCTGACTCAAGACTAAAAAAAGGGGCATTGGATGCCAATGGAAGAAATATTTCTGATATGCCAGTGGCATCTGACCAATCAAGCTCATTTACCAGGTCTGATGGAGAGGCAATGCCGCTGCTAGTTGAGGCATCTGGATCTCAGGGAAGTACTGAGAATGCTTGTTGGGGCCATGACTATTCCGGAGAGCTTGGTATTTTTGCTGATAACTTATTGAAGCATGACATTGATTCTGACCTCGCTTCTGATGTTAGATCTGGGGATCAGCCTAAGATGAGAGTGAATCGCCATGGCAGGCATCAAAGCTTAACGCAAAAATATCTACCCCGAACCTTCAGAGATTTAGTTGGGCAGAATTTGGTGGCACAAGCTCTTTCAAATGCAGTCATGAGAAGAAAAATTGGATTTCTTTATGTGTTTTATGGACCCCATGGCACTGGAAAAACTTCATGTGCTCGGATATTTGCTAGAGCTTTAAATTGTCATTCTTCTGAACACCCAAAACCATGTGGCTTTTGCAATTCTTGTGTAGCACATGATATGGGCAAGAGCAGAAGTATAAGGGAAGTTGGTCCAGTCAGTAATTTTGACTTTGAGAGCATCATGGATCTACTTGACAATATGATTGTTTCCCAGCTTGCATCACAATACAGAGTGTTTATTTTTGATGATTGTGATACTCTGTCAGCTGAATGCTGGAGTGCCATATCGAAGGTCATTGATCGAGCTCCTAGACGTGTGGTTTTTATTCTTGTTAGTTCGTCTCTTGATGGATTGCCTCATATAATCATATCCAGGTGCCAGAAATTTTTCTTCCCAAAGCTGAAGGATTCAGACATTATGTATACATTACAGAGGATTGCAACTAAAGAGGGTCTAGAAATTGATAGGGATGCCTTGAAACTTATTGTATCAAGATCAGATGGATCGTTAAGAGATGCTGAGATGACCCTTGAACAACTTAGTTTGCTTGGCCAGAGAATATCAGTTCCTCTTGTGCAGGAATTGGTAAGTTGTTTACCAGTAAAGTATTTGGGACTTTCTATTCTTAATGCCTCTCACATATTTTCAATATGCCTGCACCACCATGACTAGACCTTTATTTTTAATAACAAGTAATGCATTATATAAGACTTGAGTCCCTTGACAAACAAAATCATGAAGGAGCTAATTGCTAGAACCTTTACATATTTTCAATTAGACTCAAGTCCAGCACATATTCATTGCCTGAAATGCCGTTTTTTCTGTCTATTATCAGTAATCCTCTTTTCTATCACGTTGATACCTACAACATCTGTGGTGATGGTTTTAATGTCCATCATTCTCCAGAATTGTCGGAATTTTTTGTTATCATCCGGATAGATGAAAGGTAAAGTCGTAGGTTCTGATATGAGCGCTAGCCCAAGGCATTCTATTCAGTTTAATGAATTTCATTCTTCAGAGGTTCAATCTCATCTCTTTTGACTTTTGACACAAGTGTCCTATGATAATTACTTATTTAATAAAATTGTTTGGTATTTGATGAGGAGCTAGATAATAATGAGAATTATCTTACACTTTAGTACTTTACTGTTAGGAATTTTAAATTCGCGTGTACATATAATGTATCAAACTCTGTAGCAAGGCAATTAGGGGACTTCCTGTTTTGTTTACTTTGGCTGAGTGACATTTTGTAAGATTCATGTATTCTTGGGGGCTTGGATCTCTTGTAATCTTGGAGAAGCTTAGAGACAACTAAAGATTTGAACGGTAATTTGTTGTATGGAACCTGGACTAGGCTGGTATGGCAAGACATGAAAGATTACTTTTAGCACACCTATCTGCGTTTATCAAGTTCCCAGTGAACACAGACATTGTTATCTAGTTTGACCGTGTCACAAGGTTCGGTCACTGATTATATCTTAAACTGTTGTAATAATTGTTATGTATGATTCAATCTACTTTGATTGCCATTCTGTCTGTCAGTGATCATATTGTCAACTGTTGTGATAACTGTTATGTATGATTTGGTCTGAAGTTAAATCCATTCTTCAGGTTGGGCTTATCTCTGATGAGAAATTGGTCGATCTGCTTGATTTGGCACTCTCCGCAGACACAGTCAACACTGTAAAGAATCTGAGGGTGATAATGGAAACTGGTGTTGAGCCGCTTGCCTTGATGTCTCAGCTTGCCACTGTAATTACTGACATACTTGCTGGGACCTATGATTTCACAAGAGATAGGAGGAGAAGGAAGTTTTTCCGGAGAAATCCATGTAAGTAAACAACAAACTTTATATAGAATTTTCTAAATTTTCAATTTATTGTAAACTGGGGTGATAGATATCATATTTCTTCCCTGAATAAGTTAGTTAATTTTTTAATGCTGTATTATTGATATTTTTTCACCCTTCTTTCAGCTTCATTTGACCATCCTCCCTAAAAATCTCTGGCTTGAGATTTTTCTTCACTAACAACTATATATTTTTTACTGCTTCAGATTTAAGTATTGTTGGACCTCAAATGCTTCTCTTAGCATGCCTCACTTGAGACTTTGACGCCTCTAGTGCTTGGAGTCTCTTATTTGGTTTATTTTGGTGAAATTGTCATTGTTATCATTATTCTTCACAATTCAATGATGCTAATTTCTGTCTCAGTATCGAAAGAAGATATGGAAAAGCTACGCCAAGCTTTGAAAACCTTATCTGAGGCTGAGAAGCAGTTGAGGATGTCCAATGACAAACTAACCTGGCTGACAGCTGCGTTGCTTCAACTTGCTCCTGACCAGCAATATATGCTGCCAACATCATCTGATAATAGTTTCAATCATAGTCCCTTGCCCCTAAATAAGGTAGATGGGAGAGAAGCAGCCCGGAGAACAAGTACTAATGTTGAAATTCCTCGCAAAGAGAGACGTTTATCAATGGATTCTAGAATAGAGAATGTCCATGCTGGTAGCTCTGCTGATGGCGTGGCAAAGAGTCTTAGTTCAGATAATAAAAGACTTGCTGTGGCTGGTTTTGTGCCTCAACAGACATCTTCACATGTTACCGATGTGATTAGAATGAATGACAGACAGACTCTGGGTAAAAATCGGAAAGGAACTGAAGAGATATGGTTAGAGGTGCTTGACAGAATTCAGGTTAATGGTGTAAAAGAGTTTTTATATAGAGAAGGGAAGCTGGCCTCTGTTAGTTTTGGTGCTGGTAAATGCTCAATCTTCTTCTTGCCTGTCTACCATTGCAATAAATTATTTAGCACTGTAATACAAACCTTCCTCCGCCAACTAAGAAATTTTGTTGTCAATGTTAAAAGCACATGTAAAAACAAGCCTATCAGATTGAGGAAACTTAGGGCACGGTTGATCTTCGCATTTGAACTAAATGTGACAGTATTGATGAAAGGGTGCCTTTTATTTTTCTGCATTGGAATTTCACTTCTAGTGGGAACTAGATCACACATAATCTTAGCTTTATCTACAGGCTTCAGTGCTCAACGTAAAGTTGAAGTCTTTTATTGCTCCTCTGTAATGCTCAACATTTCATTTGCTGTTACAAGTAGAGTTTCGACTGCATTGTTGTGTAATGGGCCATGTCACCTTCTGTATCCTGAATAATTATTAATAGGGATTACTAGTCTCTTGTCTAATTTGTTGATTGTTGTCATAATATTTTCGTTTGTGTCATGAAATTTACAATCGTATCTAATTTAGTGCATTGCTTTATTATACAGCTCCAACTGTCCAGTTAATGACCAGTTCCCAACAGACGAAATCTACTACTGAGAAGTTCAGGGGGCATATTTTACAGGCATTTGAATCTGTCCTTGGATGTTCAGTAACGTTAGAAATTAGATGTGAATCAAGCAGAGATGCAGGATCAGGGTCTCAACTCCCTCTTATACTGCCTTCCACTAAAGATAGTTCTGTAGAAAAGAAAATGAGTGAAATTGTAGAAGAAGAAACTTCTCTGAAGGACCCTAAGAATAACGAGAAGCAAGCTGATGTTAACAAAAAGCCAATTGTGACTTCACACTTGGAAAGAAGGAGGCTCAGGGAACAAGGTCAGAGCCGAAGCATTGTGAAAAGTAAGGTATCTCTTGCTCATGTAATCCAGCAGGCAGAAGGACATACACAGCGCAGTGGGTGGTCAAAACGCAAAGCAGTTTCCATTGCTGAAAAGCTTGAACAAGAGAATCTGTATGTATTCTATTTCTATCCTTTTCTCTTATAACTGGTACTATAGTCTAAAGCTAGTTGTAGAATGGAAAGCTTGAAATTTTACGATAATATGATAATAGAATTGGAGATCTCCAGGTAAGTAGCCTTCAGATTTAATTGAACATGGGTCATTAATAATGACTATCATGTTACTGGAGAAAAGGGTTATTTGATTGCCTTAGGAGTTGACTTACGAGCAAAAGGTCTGAGGAATTGAGGATATTTTGACCGTAAAACCAAAAGCAAAGAGAGAGTTGTTATTACATATCTCATACTTGCAGATGAATCGGAGTCTCTGGTGGTCATAAATTTTGAATCTGATTATGGAAGAATGAATCAATGTAGAAGGATACAAGCAGAGAGTTGTTTGCATGCACTATTATATAACTAAGTTATATAGGAGTTTTCTTGACTATATGCTAGATTGAGGTTATCCTTTCTCCTTGATTACGAGATGATGGAATAAAAATCGTAGATGATAATATTTTGTCATATTCAGCTTTGGATGCTAACATAGGCGCAAGGCATAATTATGCTGATATTTGAACTACGCATGAGTCTTGAAATCATTGACTTTCAGGAGACTAGAGCCAAGATCAAGGAGCTTGCTATGCTGGAAAGCATCACGAGTATCCCGGCGGAAGGTAATTTTCCCTAAATTCACCAGTGGATATCTTTATTAAGGGTATTACCATCGACCAGAAAGCTCTCAGGTCATTTCTTCTTGTTTTCATTTTCTTTCATACTCAAAATCAATCTTTCTAAATTTAAAACTTATTCTTACCTTAAAAATGAAGAGGAAATTATGTAGACCTTCTCTTTTGTTAAAATTGCACGGATCCCTGGACTATATCCAAAGGAGGTCTGTCTAATTTAAAGAATGGAAGAGATGATTATGGTAATTTAACAAATTTAGGGTCTTCGGGAAGATCGTGTGATTTATTGTCACTTGAAAAGTTTGTGTAGCTTTTATGATCCAAGGTTCAAGGTTAGGGTCAGGAGGATTGTGTTGGCTTTGGAAGTAGAAGAGAGGTTTGTATGATTTTGATAAAAGCCAAGGGATGTTAGTCGAAATTACTCAAGTGTTATGGCTTAGCCATACCGTTAGCTGATAATCCACTCAATTGCTGAAATTAAACTATAAGTGTCAATTTTAAAGTTTTCTGTTATTAATCTATTTTAATTTAATGGATATGAGGATGTCATCGCTGATGTATCCAACTGCATTTGCAGCTTTCGCGTTTGAAAGTTAGAACCAGAAAATCTCATGCGTTGTTGAATCTGGTCTCATGTGGAAAATGTCTCACTTCTAAATCTCCAAGGTAGTTCAGTTAGTTTTTTTAGGGTGCTTCAATTTCAAGGGTTCATTCATGAGCCGTTTGTATTGTCTGTATTGTATTTAGGCTTTTTCCTGATGTTTGATAGGTTCAATTTTTACAGGTCAAGCCTCTTTCTTTATTTGTTTAGTCTAATAAAGAGCTCGAGATTGTATATCTGACTAAGAAAATGTAGGAAAGTAGTCAATTCCAATTCAGTGATATCATATGGTTTCTCCTTCTTAGCGGCAATAAAATTCCTTGTAGTTTCAATTTATGCTTTTGAATCTGTTTGAGATAAGAAATCAATTGTAATAAATGGCTTTGCATTGAAGCTAAACCCCTTGAAAATCTCATCGAGTAAAATATCTTATCTTTTAAATTAAAATTACAAAATTTATGTCGCTAAAGATAATACTCTTCTGATCCTCAGTATAAGACTTAATTATTGAATTGATTTTGATCCTAAATATAAAAATTATTTATCACATTTATCAATTTTTTTAAACTTATCCTTATCAATATTTTCTAAACCATAATCAAATAGAAGAGGGAGATGAGATATTAAATAAAATGATTATGATGTTTTAAGAAAAACATGTCATATTTTTTTATAATTAACTAACTTACCTAACTTTCTTAATCTAATCAAATTAGTTAAATAAATCTTATATTAAAGACCGAAAGAGTACCTTATTAATTAAGACCAGCATCTCTTTTGTAATGCATAGTTGCATATTCTAATTCCAGAAGGATGCAGCATATTTGATGGAAATACTAAAAATATAGCATTATCAATATATCGGTAGTCTCGGTCTTCTGACCCAATGATAATAAACATATTTCTCAAGTCTTTCTTAAACATGAAGTTGTAAATTCAACCTTTATGAGCATAATAAGATTTACAACAAGAAGATCTGACCTCTACACAAAATTCATCCGACCAATTTTCCCCGAGGCAAAGGTGAGCATCTCCTATCTTTAAGATGGATTGACAATCCAAAATTACCAGGACACTAGACTATTAGTATGAAGGCCCACTTCAAATGAACCTTCTTCAAAAGCACCATCAAATAAACCTTTCGGGATCGCATCAATCTCTCTGGGTTCTAATGTCTTCACATTGTAACTGTAAAGTGATGCCTTCAGTGGGGGCTCAATCATTACTTGGAATATTACTTCTTGGTTTATCCCCACACCAAAAGACTCAGAAAAATCAACGTCGTCATCAACGTCGTCATCTCTTGGATAATTATAATAATCATCGAAGATTCCCATCTCATGATGGAGGCTCCATTTTCCAGAATCAGCTTCAAATATGTGTACTCTGAATCCTTTTGCGCCCAGAAAGACAACGGAAGCCAGACGATTTTCTATCTGGAAGAACTCTGTCCACCACCATGGGTAGTAATGTTCTTCGGGAAATAAAAACTTTCTAAATGTTTCCTTGTCAACATCCATCACTATTACATGGTCCTGTGTGATCCAGTACAGATCATTACCTCCACAGTAAATTGGGCTGCAACTAAATTCAAAATCACCGGCTTCTGAAGCGAATCTTGTCCAAGAAGTATCCTTCCCAAGTCTTAGAACATGCCAATGGCTATAACAAACTTCAGACTGAGTTTGAATAAGAGAAGCAAACAATTTGAATTCGCCAGTGCAGGGAACACGTACTATGGCACCGGGAGGGCAGTTCAAATTAGGACCAAGTAATTTAGGAACATTTAAGAGTCTGCATGGTAACAGGGTTTACAACATGAAGATCTCCTCTGGCTTTTTGGTAAAACAGTATCAATCCATCACAACTGTTCAAATATTGTCCAGGGAATTGAGGGCTTAAAGCCGTGACACCATATTCTCCATTGCCCTTGACCTCCAAGAAATGGGCACCATATGGAGGCCTCGTGCTCTGGAGGAAAATTCCAGGTTTTGCACGGAGGAGGTGTGTCTCAACAAAATCAGACCTGCGGATCATAGCAGCCCAAGATTTGCAAGTAAGCCTCGCACTGCTATGGAGCCACTGAGCAGGGAGTCTAGTCAGGATATTAAACATGACATCTTCAGGGAGGCACTCTGAGGAGTTATTGCTCTGGCTCTTGTTCTGAGGCTCTAAGCAACTGCTGCCTCCACTGTTGCAATCCTTTCCCCCATCATCTTTCTTCTCCGAATCCATTTTCAGCTGTTTCTACAACTGTAATGACAAAAATATTTACTGTTTGAATTTGAGCTAAATTTTAAGGATAGCATCTCCACTGTCATATTGCCTTGTCAATCTCTCTCTCACACAAACACACAGAAATTCTTGCTGGCTTCAACTGGTTATAATAATTTGTTTTGAAATTGAGGTTGCAAGATGCCTTCCAGATTGGTAGCAAATCTTGCCAAGATTAACGCTATGATACTACATATGAATTTAGATTATAAAGCAAAAAAGGCAGAAGACCTGGAATATTGGGATCGGTTAATGGAGAGAGTTCAAGCACCAGTAAAGACAAGCCAACGCGTATGGAGTGGGCCCTAGCCTCACATGTAATCTAACACATTAACAACTATTCCTTTTATTGTACTCATAAATAGAGTCTACAGTTTCACCCAAACTCCTAGTTTATCACTATTAAAATGAAGAAATGTCCCAAACTATATAAGCACACTTCAGCGATAAGTCAGGGCTATAACTTGCTACAGACTATTAAAGGAATACCAAAATATCAATATATATAGTCAAACTTGGACGTCCTATTATTCATATGACATGAATAATACCACTCACTTGAGACTTAGTATGAAGTGCAGAGCCCGTAATCTAGTTCTTGTTCAAATGGCATCCAACTCTAAGGGAGGTCCTTAGATACAGAACCGGTGGAAGAAAGAAAATTTTGGAAGAAAAAATGTTACAGAAAAGAAGAGAAGGTGAAGAAGATGGAAGGCGAAAAATCCACCATTTAATTTTGCAGAAAGACAAGACTATATCTCAAAGAAATATATAAGGATGGTAGGCCTCACTCTTAAACCAATCAGAAATTCAAACCTGCTCAATATATATACGCATATATAGGGATGATTACTGAAAATAACCCAATTAACCAAATGAAGAGAATAGCTATCTTTTGCAAGATTCCCACTCCGCAACAAAGGTATTGAATAATTTGTAGAAGCTTGATACACTATATGACAAGCGACTAAAGGATTTTTCAAATTAAGCGAACGGTTAGATCGGAAAATTCAGTCCACATACGCAAAGAACTGCAATAGGCCATGATTAGGATAGACAAGGGCATCCGAACGCGGACAAAACGAGAAGAATGCACAACAGAAACGGAAATCCAGGCAGAAATGCATATACAGATAATTTAGCAGATGCGACATCATCGAAAAGGTGGGAAAACAAAAATCAGAAATTCAACCGCAGTCCTGTGAATCACTAAATAAACGAACATTGAAGCTAATTTGACAGAGTATTAAAAGAAGAAGAAGAAGAAGAAGTTAATTTGAGAGACGATGCCGAAAATTTCAACGAAAAAGGAACAAGCAAAAACTTAAGAATAAAGATCGTGATTCGTGAAAATAAGTAACAAGTGGGAACCTTACGACTTGTCACTGAGATTCGCTTCCTTCCAAGCAGAGTAAATTGCAAGAATGGTGGATTTCTCACTCTTAACAGCACAAAGTGTTAAGTTGGCGCCGGGAGCTTCCGCCGTGTTATGGGTCAAGGACTTTAGGCTCTTTCTAATTGGTTAATAAAGAAGGCACACGGCAAAACAGGAAAATATCAGAATGATATTCATTGCTCGAGGAAAACGATGCTACAGTCAGTCAATATCCACAAGAGATGTGTAAGGTGAAAAGGACACGTAGACATAGTGATGGAAAAATCCAAAATCAGATGATAACAGCCAACAAGATTGAAAATAAACACTAAATGGGCTTCTTATTTGACTTGCTTTGATTGGATTGGTCTTATGCTTCAACAGAAAATACCTCCTTTCCAATTTTAGTTTTGACCACTATAATCTCAAAGGGGATACCTTATAATTTCGTAAAATTTGATCTGAATTAACTTAACACGGTTCACAACCGCCAAAACTAAAATTCCTATGATGTTTTAATTTAATGAGTTTTAGTTTTGATTATTAGTATGTTTTAACAAATTTTAGTTTTCATCTTATATGATACTATAATTAAATTCGAACCAAATTTTTGTAGCAAAAAATTAGAATTAGTTTTGGATAAACATCCTAAACTCATCAGATCTGAATCGTCCATATCTCATTTTGATAATTGAAATTTGATTTCTTTTTTTTATTTGTTGTGAATAATTATTTTAATATGTATAGAATCTAAAATAGAGATAATTTTTCAAATATCATTCTTTCAAAAAATTGCTATTCTATTTAAAAATAACTAATTAAAGATTTTAAATCTGGATCATTCAAATCAAATATAGATAATCCAGATCTGATAAACTTAGGCTGCTCATCAAGATGATGAGTACTGAAACTGGTTGGTCAAAAAGTACAATTTGAACTCACAGGAATTAAGTTAAAATTCGGTAAAAAATTTTTTTTAAAGTATTGGTAATAGCCTTTACCCTTTGTTAGTGTACTTTTGTCAATTTTTATCAGTTAACAGAATCCAATTTTTCTTTCTTTTTTTTGGTTATAATAAAGTTTAGATGAATTGGGCCAACAATGAGATTGAAATTCATAATCTTATATGTTATAAATTGACTTTTTATTACTAATAAGTATTGGTCCAAGTGATAGGGACTTGGGCCCCTTAAACATCATGTCTTAGGTTCGATCCTTAGGACAGTGTGTATGGAAAAAACACTGTTGGGAGGAGTCCCCGCTACGGCGCTTGATAGTACCCTGAGAGATTAGTTTCTTACTATTCGGATGGGAGGATACTCTGGGTAACTAAAAAAATTGACTTTTTAATAACTACATGAATTTTTGTTTTTATTAAAAAGAGAATCAATTTTGTGACAAATTAGAGTCCAATCCCATTCAGAACCCAAGCACAAAATTAGCAGAACACAAGAAAAAATATTTTTACGGGACATGGGAGACCTCATATTGGCTTCATCCAAATATTAGCTTTTTTAACTAGTTAGCGAATCAGCTTGTAACTCACAACTAGAGCTGGAAAAACAGGCTGGTCTAGTCCTATAAAGTTGGCGGGCTTAAAAAATCGACCTTATAGGATCAAAATTTTAAAAATATCCAAATTTATTAGACCTGATCCTTAAGCAGGCGAGCTCATAGCCGGTTTGCAGGCTTTCGATCTGTTTAAAAAAATTTATTTTTCATATTTTTTATATGTTTTATCAAAAATTAAAAATAAACCAATGGAATTACTAGTAGAAGACATAAATATAAATAAAATTAAGTCACAAATATGAAAGATCATCATTTATAAATGTCCATCAACATACAAAAAATCTAAAACATCTATTAGACATAACAAGTTAATGACATTAACATTCAAAAGTTCTATTAAAAGTAGACAAACGTTTTCACTTAAAAAAATGGACAAAATCTATCATCACTATCATTAATTGTAAGAATATTTGATTGTACTTCACTAGTAATAGGCCTTTCTTAACTTCCAAAAATATTATTGATTTCTTCTCAATACTATTTAGCTATTATGGACTCTAATATGTCTTCTTTCGTCTTTTGGAATTGAACTTTTTGCCCATCAGTAAGTTTATTTAAAAGTATTAATGTTAAGTTTGTTTTAGAGGTTTCAACTTGTGACCATTGGAGATTGATTCTGTGTTGTCTACTTACTCCCTCTAGTTCTAATTATAAGACCTTCTTTGACTACAAGTGAGATTTTATAATTAGGATTTGAGGTGATTTTTTTTCTCAGGCTTTAATTATGAAAATCACTTTGCTACATAATCTCATAGGAAGTCTTAAATATTTAAGCATTTTGAATTGATCCATAGTATGCTTTTAATGAGCTAACTATGTCATCTATTTTTTATTTTTGTTTAGGATGATCTTTTTTGGTTTTATCTAACTCGCTTATCTAATTCTATTTAAATATATAGTAAAAATTATGATATAGTTACTATAGAAAAAGTGTTAACTTATTTATTAAAATTTTATAACATATATGCAAATTGATAAGTATATGTTGGTTCAATCATTAAAATTTTTGTTTGAATATGGGGAATATATTTTGTTTATTCTAATATATAATTGTTGGTTTAAAAAAAATTTTGAAATCTAATTTAAGATATGGAGAATATGATTTTATTTATTTTAATATCATTAGAGATTAAGGTATGAGCTGAGAATGAATGAAAGGCTGAAAGTGAAACTTAGAGAGGGAAAGTGCGTAAAATGTTAGAAACTTATATTAGGATAAAAAATATAAATTAAAAAAAATTATTGTTAGCGGGTTTAAACGAGCCAATCGATGGCCCTATACAGTCGACTTTTTTTTTATTTTTGAGCCATACAGGACTAATCCTTTTAAGTCCAAGTTCCATTTGAAGACCCCAAATTATAAGCCCAACCTTCCACTTAAACAGGCTTAAACGGATCAGTCTAACAGGTTTAGCCCGTTTTTCCGGCTCTACTCACAATGTTATGAGTTTGAATCCTACTTTTAATGTAATAATTTTGTTAGTGGGAGACCTGTGATCATCTCTATAAGTGCTTTCTCATCTAAACTTGTTTTGTCAAGAAAAAAAAATGTTTGTTTCTCAACACTAGAAGTATTTTGAATAGCACGATGACTTGTAGTACATTGTTATATTTTCGTAATATTTTAACTTTATCAAAAAAATAATAAACATGTTACATCGTCTGATCTTTTGCCAATTAATATATCTTGTCTTTAATATAAAATCTAATTGGTTAATTTGAGTAGATTAAGAAGACTAATTAAGTTAGTTATTTGTAATAAATAGGTGTTGTCTTTTCTAAAATATCCTTGCTAATTAAGTGTATTGATTAGAACTACTATTATCACAAGAACTGTCTTTGATAAATTTGAATGAAAAGAGTTGCTTTGTTTTCAGACTATTCATCTTCATCACACTGCGGGATTTCAATTTGTCTCGTCTCAATTTCGATGAGTTTGGGATAGGACAAAAATAATTTCGGGACAGGACGACTATGGGACGGGACGGGACAGTAATTGGGATGAGGTTGTCTTGTCTTGTCTCAGAATGTTTTTTTAAAATTATTTATTAATAATAATTATTAAATTATTCAATTCACGTATTAATAATAATAATGATTTTTATTATGTTTTTCAGCTCAAAAGTTATAGTATTATCTCAACAAAATCTTTTTCCTCGATAAAATAATTCACAAAACCATTATATAATATTCCTTTATGGCATTTTTTCTATAGTATTGTTTCACACACACCGTTTTTATATTATATAATTGAACTTTTTACATAATATTTTTTACAATATTTTTTATCTTTCAAAGTCCCATAAAAAATAAATACTCCTCCGGTCCTTATTATAAGACCCAATTTGACTTTTATTTGGTCCTAATTATAAGACCCAATCCATTTTCTCTCTTATATTTATGCATTTTTTTCCAAGATAATCCTTCTAATAATGATAGTTTAGCCAATATACTTAATTAGCAAGGATATTTTAGGAATAACAACACTTATTTATTATAAATAACCAACTTAACTTACTTCCTTAATCTCCTCAAATAAGTCAATTGGGTCTTATAATTAGGACCGGAGGAGTATTATAATATTAAAAAACTTATACAAAAAATTATAGTGGTTTTTTAGGAAACGAGACGTCCCGTTCAACCGAGATAGAACCGGAACGAGACGCACAAAAATCACGTCCCGTTCCTCTTCATTGGGATAAGACCAGGGCGAGCCTATTCCGATCTCACACCTGAATCTCCTTCTCAATCACTTTAACCTTCTCTGATGCACCACCTTCGTCTCCATGAAATTTAAACATATATATCCTGTCACCCTGCAAAACTACAAAATCACCGTCACCACAATTAAACCTCTTACCAACTTAAATCTTTCACTTTCCATCTACTAAAACCTGTCTTCCCCACTCCTCCATGTACACTAGCTCATCAAACAAATAAAGTCAACAACATGAAGATCCATTCTTCTTTCTCCTCTTGCTTTCCTCCTCCTTTTCTTCTTTCACTATAGTTCAGTTAACACCAGCCGCTGGTCCTAAACCCTCGGCCACACCTGCACCAGCTGCTCCGGCGCCGGCTCCGGCTCCGGCAAAACCGTTAGTGCCCAGTGGACCCCAGTCGGAAGATTCCTCAGATGCTACCAACGACAATATCATTAAGATCCTCAGGAAGGCCAAAAACTTCAATTTCCTTATCCGTCTTCTGAAAACTACCCAGTTGATCAACCAAATCAATTCGCAGCTTGTAGCCACCAGATCCGCCAGTGGCTTAACCATTCTGGCTCCCGATGACTGTGCGTTCTCAGAACTCAAAGCCGGATTCGTCAACTCTCTGCACGATAACCAGAAGATCGAACTCGTGCAGTTCCACGTTCTCCCAGTCTACGTTTCGAGTTCCAACTTCGACTCCCTGACCAACCCGGTCCGGACACTCGCCGGACTGAACCCGAGCAGGTTGCAGCTGAACGTGACGGCTTATGGGAACATGGTGAATATTTCAACTGGGGTGGTTAATACCACAATTGCGGGCATTGTTTACAGTGGTAAATCACTGGCCATATGTCATTTGAACAAAGTGTTACTTCTGTTGGATTTCTTCAAGCCAAAGGCTCTGACGCCGGCGCCGTCGGTGGCACTGGCTAAAGCTCCCAAGTCTGATAAGGAGAATCCTTCTATGGGTGGGGATAATGATCAGAGCGAGTCTGTGAAGTAGAAGCCTGGGGCCGTCGGTTCGAATAGCGGCATTCTAGCAGCGACGTTGTCGTCCGTCGGAGCAACTTTGGTTGCAGCCGCAACAACGACGTCGTATTGAAGAACATAAACTGCGCCATTTTGCAAGCTGTTAAATGTTAATAAATACTCTTTTATTCTTTTTTGGGATCACCAATTTCCTGTTTTGTTTTGCGTCGTGTTTTTGTTTGGGTGTGATTGGGAGAGATTTTTGGAGGGTGACGAATCACTCTCGAGATAAATTAGTCCAAAGCTTTGTTGGAGCTTCACATATATGATTTGACATTGAAATAGCTACCTGAAATTCAATAACAATGGCGTCCAAATCATAGATGTACTTTGCCTTTGTTAAATATTTTTAAAAATTGAGAATATAAATTGATATCAAGTTGAGATTGTGGAAGCTCTCAGATTATGTAAAGACATCTCTCGATAGGATTTTCTTCAATGTTATTCTCTCTTCGAAAAGAAGATATTTGGATGTGTATTAAAGATGTTGGGGACTAAGAAATTAAGGAAAGGATTATGCTGCAATCATACTCCCTTTGGTCCATAATATAAAAAGTTAGTTTGTTTCACATACCCAGAAATAAAAATTTAGTATGTGTTCTAAAATGATAAAATTTTCCTATTTTACCCCTAAAAATGATAAAGTTATCTTGAATATTACACTTTTATCATTAATCGTCTTCTCCAATATTTAATGGCAATGAAAGCAAAAAAATTACATTAATTAACCTGCCAAAGTCTTATATTTTGAGTCTCGTTTTTTCCTGAGCAATGGAGGGACTATTATATTCAAAACTTAATGTCAACGGATGATACTATACTAAAAAAATAATCGATGAGAGTAAATTACACGACTCATCAATCTGCAACGGATCAACTCATTAGCATTTTCAAAGAAGGATGATCAGAGAATTATTAATAGTCTATTCAATTTGATTATCGTTGCCACTTCTTCACAAGTTGTAACGTCTATCAATTTCCTTACTGTTTCATTCTTCTTGTTCTAGTTTTTGCTGCCTCTGATTTACTCGTTGATCTCCTTGATTTTGCTGACTTATTACTTTATTTTCAATTTCTTGAAGCAGCGAAACAACCCAGTAGAATAATAGAAGCAATATATATATATATATATATATATCCCTCTCTCCCTCTCCCTCCCTCTCTCTCTCAGCTTAGAGATGGACGAAAGCCAAACCTGTTCAACAGAAGAAAGCACGTGGATGATCAAGCCACTCACAGGGTCACCTTCCAACTCCAACATTGGCTCATTGATTTCGAGTCGTCCCGCTTGTTTAAAGGGTGCGGTGAGTTTGAATGGCCTTGATGTTTCTGCTCTGAGATTGCTCGCCATGAATGGCATAATGGAGGCGTTGACAGATGCTTATGCTTTTATCAACGGCGTGTACGGTACACAAACTGCCATGGCCGATCTGGTAGAGAGAGTTACAGTAAGAGCTCAAAGAGACAGTTTATTTGATATGGTCATTGGTTAGCGTGGCAAAGAAGTCAGACATGAAAAGGACCAATTTATTATTTGCTAAGATTTGTAGGGTGATGAGGTTAGCAAGAAGGAAGAAGCCAGCAGACTTGAAAAGGATCCAAGGAGAACTAGCTAATGCACTGGGCTTCACAATGGAAGATGAGTCTGAAACCAGGAGAGCTTCTCTGTTGATAGAGAGAATCAAAACGCAGCAGAAAATTCTTGTGCTGCTACAAGATCTCAACCAGGGACTAGATTTGCAAAGATCAGGAATTCCATTTCGGGCTGATCACACTGGCCGCAAGATTCTCTTGACTTCTACAAACCAAGAGATATTGTCCAACCAGATGCACGCTCACAAGGTTTTCAAATTTGTCTGACAAAGATTGGCACATATGTTATCGGATCACACTGTGTGCGTTTGAATTATATTGTACTGTACGTATTTTAGTGATGTCCTTGCTGTGGTCTTTGTGTTTAACTCTTGCGTGCCACTGGGGCTTCAGTTTATTGGGCCGCTTATTAATTTTGGACCTTTGGTTTTATGAATTCTTATGGTTCTGCGAGATTTCCTGAATTTTTTTGTCTGGCTGATGAAGACATAGCATTAGAAACATTATGAATCAAGACTAGAAATATTTTGAATAACACTACGTAGTTATATTTTATATTATTTTAATTTTTCAATAAATAAATCAAATATATTCTTTTTCCGATCGTTTTTTTTTTTGGTGTCAATTGTTGCACATCAGATGAACCTGAAAGAAAAGAGTTGCTTCGTTTTCTGAGTGTGCATCTTCATCAACTCACCTAAATCTCCTTCTCAATCGCTTTAACCTTCTCTGATGCACCACCTTCATCTCCATGAAACTTAACATATTCTGTCGCCATCAGAATTAAACCTTTTACCCACTTAGTGATTCACTTTCCAGCTCCACCTATAAAAACCTTTCCCTCCCTCTCCTCCATGCACACTCATCAAACAAAACATTCATTCTGCATATAACAATTATCAACAAGATGAAGATCCATTTCTTCTTTCTTCTCTTGCTTTCCTCCTCCCTTTCTTCTTTCAGTTTAGCTCAGTTAACACCAGCCGCAGCCCCCAAACCAGCTCCTAAACCCCCGGCCAAACCTGCACCAGCTGCTCCGGCCCCGGCTCCGGCGAAGCCATTAGTGCCCAGTGGACCCCAGTCGGGGGATTCCTCGGACGCTTCCAACGACGACATCATTAAGATCCTCAGGAAGGCCAAAAACTTCAATTTCCTTATCCGTCTTCTGAAAACTACCCAGTTGATCAACCAAATCAATTCGCAGCTCATAGCCACAAGATCCGCCAGTGGCCTAACCATTCTGGCTCCCGACGACAGTGCCTTCTCAGAACTCAAAGCCGGATTCCTCAACTCTCTGGACGATAACCAGAAGATCGAACTCGTGCAGTTCCACGTTCTTCCCGTCTACGTTTCCAGCTCCAACTTCGACTCCCTAACCAACCCGGTCCGGACACTCGCCGGACTGAACCCGAGCAGGTTACAGCTGAACGTGACGGCTTATGGGAACATGGTGAATATTTCAACGGGGGTGGTTAATACCACAATTGCAGGCATTGTTTACACTGATAGGTCGCTGGCCATATATCATCTGAACAAAGTGTTGCTTCCATTGGATTTCTTCAAGCCAAAGGCTCTGGCTCCGGCGCCGTCACTGGCACTGGCTAAAGCTCCGAAAGCTGATAAGGAGAATCCATCTATGGATGGGGATGATGATCAGACCGCGTCAGTGAAGAAGTCTGGTGCTATTCGTCTCAATGGCGGCTTTCTAGCAACGCTGGCTTCCGTCGGAGTTGCTTTGGCTGCTGCAGCATTAACGACGTCGTATTGAAGGAGATAAACTGCGCTATCTGCAGCCTGTTTTTTTTTTGTTTTGGGCCCACAATTTTATGATCTGGTTTTGTTTGTTCTGCTTTGTAAGAATGGTTCTCATTTATCCATTTTCTTTTTTTGGCCAACAATTAACTATCCATTTTTAAAAAATCTTAATTATGAGAAAACATATACATGATATACAAAAGCAAGGAAAATGAATCCTACAAGATACTACTTTTGATCTTTTATATAAAACCCAGTCAACTAATAAGAAAACTAAATAAATTGCTTAATTATAGTATATGCTACATGATTTATTTAAAATACTCATATATATCATTGGATATATCAATTTATAAATCAAGTAAATTAGTTGAGAGAAACATGATAAATATAAATATCTTAAAGTAATTTATATAGCTTCTCTAATCTCGATAAATCAGTCGATATTGTTTCATATATAAGGACCAGAGGTACATAGTATAAGATTCACTTGGCAATGCGTTTGTACTTCAAAATAAACCTTATAATAAGCAATACAGTTTCTAAGAAACTCTGTATCTAATGACTAATGGCATCAATTTATTAGATAGACAATACTAGATTTTAACACAAATTTCAGCTTTAATTTTACTATAGTTAAGAATATTAAACATTTCAAAATAGCATAAAGTTCTCATCTTTCTACATGTAATAGCGTGTCAATAATAGTGTATATGACATATTTCATAAATCTATAATGGTAGAATAAATGTCATATTTACTCATTTTCAGCATTATAGAACACACGAATAAAATAATCGATGATAATCATTAAAAGCAACTAATTCATCTGTTGTACGCAATCTAGTTTTCTATAATCAACCATGGGATGTTTTGGGTATGTTATATTTGCTCCACACAAAGGAGCTTGCATAAATCTAGTGCCATATCCCTAAAAACACTTGTACTCAAGCCAGCAGCATCAATGGAAACATGCTAGTCCTTTAGAAATGCAAACTTCTTTCACCATCTCTATAAGTCAAGATGAAGGATGATTAAAGACATTGCTGTGGTAAGGCACATAATGGTGAGCATACTTAACTAACCTATCTCTGCTGCTCATTTGACAAAGTCTTTATACATAAAACTACAGACCAATTCCTATTAAGAAGCATATATTCTAACTTGCTGTGAAAATGTCCACATTCTAGCTAGCTAGCTTTCTGCGAAAGAATTTTGTAAGCCTTATTATAAAGTCTCAAGGAATTACATATAAAAGTTTGCCAAAAAAAAAAGTCAGTTTAAGCAACTTCTGATTTTTTGCTATGGGTTTTTTTTCCTCTTCTTCATTTAGCTCATGCACTTTGCCTATCTATCTCCCTTCATTTCTTAATTCTAGCTAGCTTTTTTATTTCAAGAAAAGGCATGCTAAACCTACTCCCAATCCCAAAGAGTCGCATCAAATTGTGAACAAAATTTCGAATCCTAGCTATAAGGACATACATACTATAAATGGATTTTTCCTTTGAGAAATTGAGGTAAACTCGACACATACATGGTTTTTTCAAAGAGGTGAAAAAAAGTTTTTTCCTTTTTTCAGCCCAAATATGCATTTTATCAACTTGCACCTAATCCCCTTCTCAATCA